CGAAATAGATAGGTTAAAAGTGTTCTTGTTAATAAATTAATAAATATAATATGTTTACAATCAGAAATTATGTTGTAAATCGATATTATAGTAGTATGTCATTGTATGAAACTATATCATACGATAGTATAATAGCACAAAATATATTTTTATATAAAAACAGAAAATTAAACATTGATATAAGACCAAAAAGAAGAGTATATGCGAGATGTATGACTTCTTAATAAACATATATAATTAATCAATAACTCTTTATTCATTTAATGTCAAATTAGCAACTAATAGTGTTTAGTATATACAAGTTTTTTAATTTAATAATTTAAGCTTTTAGCATACAAATAAATTAATTAAACACAAGTCTGTCGCGCCTAAATAACAATCGTGCGTGACGGCATCCTAGTCTATATTGCATAAAGCTCAGCCGAGATTTTAATTACAAAATAATGTATCTTAACAAGACTTTCCTGCGTAATTAAATTAGATTTTCGGTTGCCCCGGAACGCCAGTTAATGGTTTTTATAATTGGTTTCGTCTGCGAAACCTGAACTTTTGAAATACTCTGATAATTATGATACATACTGCAAATATATTAAAAATGTTGCATCGCTGCTACATAATAATTCATAAAGAATTTATAGCATGTAACAAAAAATGAGGAGTGTTTTTTTATTTTGATCCAAATTCTAAAGCGTTTTAATAGATTTCTAATTAATTTTCAATTTTATGAGATACGTGAGAGAGATTTTAATCGCTGTTGTAACTACATTATGAAATATTATTAGATTCTAGTAGATCCTAGTGCATATAATGTAAATAACTCAAAAATTTTACGTATTGAAAAGCTGTGTCAGCAATAGGGTTTATAAGAAAAACCGACATTTCAGAAAACCGGTTTTCGAATTTTAATTTTACTAAAAAACGGTTTTAAAAAGTTTTGCTCGAATATTCTGTAATGTATCCGCTAATTTAGTGTAATTTAGAATAGTATTTGACTGAATTTATTTATTGTTCAATTTCATAGATAGCAAACAAAATTATTTTAATTTTAATTAGTAGAACTAAAAAATAGTTTATCTTGATTAAATAACTTTGAGAATAATTATTCGTTATTCATGCCTCATTTTCACATATAAGAATGAAAATATTTTCATGATAGTGAAAGGAAAGTTTTCGAATAAATAAAAATAGTACATTTTAAATAAAACTAGTTAGTTTAGTATTTAGCCTTGAGGCAAGTTACATGAACTTCCCGATATGTGTAAATAATCGACTTAATCAATAAAAAATAAATTAATTTATAAGTGATTATAAGTATTCCGAGTGGATTTATTACACATCATTGCAAACGAACGAACGAACACGTTTACTCAGAGTATTTTCTAAAAGCAAATTTTCAAAAATCAATAATTTTAATTAATCAATAATTATAATTGAACCAGTTTCCGTAGGACTTTAATGGTTTACTATGTTCAAGACCAAGTACACTACCGTTATACCAACTAAATCATCTAATTTTATTTTAGTATGATCTAGAAGACTATGGTATCTACGGCCAAAAAAATAATCATAAAAATCGTCGAATTTTTTTTTTTTTAACTTTATTACAAGAAAACGGCCCGGCCGATCTCTACCAAAAACTAATCAGCACGATTCCCAACCAATATCTTTCGAACGGTTTTTGAATTTTCAAAATCGATTCAGAATTGCGGGCTAAAACGTAGACAAAAAAAATTTCACTTTTCTGCGATTTATAAAGAAACGGCCTGGCCGATAGTCGCACCAGCCGTTAAAGTGCAGATATTAAAAAAATGTAATGGTATATATTTATTTCCTTACCTTCAATTTATTTCGCATTAATGCTGGCTGTAGACGTAGACCTACTCGAATGTAAAGATTCCGACAACATTTTCTCCAACTTACTAATTTCTGCATCCAGCGCTGCCATTTCCCTCCTGTAAACCCTGTTTTGCACCTCAACTCTGTACTGTAATTCTCTCTTATCATCTGTAACAAATCTCCTCGTATTGCATTCAATTTTCAACCCCATGCTATGAACCACAGGATCGGCTTGTTCTTCTTGGTTCATGATCGAGTTTAATTTTGGTACGAAAAGTAAACATAAAGTGGCCGTCGTTGAGAACAATATCAGTGTTGATATTGTGACGAAAGCTAAAGTGACACGTTCGGAGATGAGGTTGGCTAGAACTACAACTATACAGCTAGTTATTACGACACTGTAGACTGATATTCCTATGTATTGGGAGTCGTTCAGAGCCGGGATTTTCACGTGCCGCGTCTCCCAAGCCATGTAAACGCCCACGAGGAGGAGGAGGCCCTTGTAAGCGTACAGGGCGCCGAGCCAACTGTGCGTGTGCAGGGAACGACAGACCTCCACCTGCGGAAAAAAATATTTTTATATATACATATTTTTATATATAAATTGCAATATATTAAATTTCAAGTATGAGATTGATTTTCTTGATCATGATCATAAAACATATGTCGCTTCAAGTTTAAAGCGTTAAAAATTCATCAGTCAACTACATCAAAGCATTACCAGAAAAGCCTAGCCATGATTTAGAAAAATTAGAGATAATCCTTATTTGTTTTATTTTATGATGAAACTAATATGAATCTAAGTTAAAAGAATTAATTATTTATAATGTGTTTAAACCAGAACAATCACACGAAAAAAATGTAAAGAGATGAGATATTTTTATAATCTTTTATATAAAAATAAGTCGGGTTTTTCTTCCTGACGAAATAACTCCAGAACGCAGGAACCGATTTCGACGATTTTGCATTCGTTAGAAAGGTCTCGGACTCCGTGAGGTTTATAGCAAAGGAAATTGAAGAAAAAAATCCAGAAAAGCGGAAAAATCGTTTTTCACACGCAGCGTCATCTCTGATACTTAGCATGTACTACAAACTAATATTTTTTGTTTGACTGCTACTCTTTTGTTTGACAGCTCCTCATTGTTCTCTGCCCAGTTAATTTCATGTGAAAAACCGGCATTGTGTTCACTGTGATATTGTGCAAAAATGTAAAAAAATAAGTTATTCGTTTCCTAACATATCAATTGGAAACCATTAAATCAATCACGTGCATAGTGCAAATTTTTATACAATTTCAACAGCAGACAATTTTTTTCTTCATCTTTTAATCACCAAACGAAATGTTACATAAAATGAAACCATCTGGTGGTGAAACGGAGTTCGCCCGGTTTGCTAGTTATCTATAAAAATGTGTTGAAAGTTTAAAAGTTTTTGGAGATATTTACAACTGCATGTGCAAAATTACATTAATAAAATAGTTAGATCATTATCGGCCCAACAAACAAATGCCGGATTCACAAATTAATTCAAATTAAGTAAAGACTCATTTGAGTGCTCTCCTCCACGGAAATCTTCAGTAAAAGGCGGAAGATTTATTCGCTCTTAAGAGAAACCAGAATGACGAGCAGGGTGTCAAAGTGCAGCCTAACAATTTAGTTTCTGTATTTTAGAGCCGGCCAAATAATAATTGTTATAAGCATATTGAAAATGAAAATATAAATGTTAATGACAATTTTAATAAACAATACATATGAGTATTTTCTTGCCATGCACATATTAAGATCAATTAAAAGATTATTGATTCTTACACTAAGTTTTTTTATTTTATGACTATTATATAGAATTTTATTTCAGATCAATATTAATATCAAAATAATTTTATATATTGATAAAATCTGAGAACTAGGGGTGATTTGCCATTTGGAGTTGTATGGAAAGAAATAAATTGATAGAGCAATTATGAAAATTATACGCTATACCATACTAATAACTAATTTAATACTGGTTGGGAGAATCAATACAATTCTTAATAACAATTTGAATAAATAATACTTTTGAGTAATTTCTTGTCATGCACATACTGTTAATATCTCTTATTATAGAATCAAATCAATATTTTTATTAAAATTAGAATTTTACCCACCTGAGGCTGATACACGACACTTCGATCCTCCGCGCTTATTTCCAGTGTCAGATTCCTAAGATGCCTTTCCATGGGGTCCACGGTGACCCATAAAGTGACAACAAGACCGTCGACAAGAAGTAAAGCCCCTATGAGGGATATGAGTTGTTTATCCTGCAGCAGGCGATCTCTGCAGACGCCTCCACGTGCCCTCGTAAAAATTCTATGCACACGGTATGTCTTTGTGAACATGGAGCCGAATGCCAAGGAAAAGCCGGCCGAGAGGAGGTAAACACGAGCCTCAAAAATAATAAGATACTTCGAATTTAAACATTTATTTAATTCTATTTACTAAACGCAGAATGAATGACTGGAAAACTGCTGACATTAAATATAGGGGAGAACTATAATTTTGTAAAAATATAAAAGTCTCTGAATTAAATAATTTATTCGTTTTTTTGTAAGGGATATATTCTGATCTAGAGGCATAAATTTAATGCGGTGTTTAAAAAACTATAAAAATAACGTAAGAAATATTTTTACTATCTCTTGTTACAAGTTCAATTATAATGTTTTAAGAACATAAAAAAATATAATTAAAAATAATCACAAAATTTTAATTGTAGGAAGTGATAAAAAAGGAGTTTTTAAAAAATTGGCACCTGATTATACCCAAGATTTTAGCCTTCGAAATTATCTGAAGAAAACAGTAATATTAATCCAGAATAATGTCGCAATTGTATGATCCACGAACAAGTTAAAAATGTTTTCTTTACAAAATAATTAGTATCTGTAAGAAAAATATTTTTTGAAAATTTTTTTTTTTGATATTCTCGAACTTCATAAAAATAGTATAAATTAATATTTGGGATGAGCGTTATTTATACTGAAGAGAAGTATATAAAAAGACTATGTAAAAGTTTCAAGTAAATCGGTACAGTAGAAGTTGATAATTCGTGGGTATCGTATCGAAAAAGACAGTTTCAAGTTTTACAGGAGCGCATTCTCATGGTCGAATAGCTATATCTCCAAAAAGGATTCAAATTATGAAAATCTTCTTGTACACATTATTCCTGAACAGTCAAACTTCAAAAATTTACTAAAATTAGTGGGGCGCATGGCATCGTGCTTTAAGGCAAATTTCTGGAACTTCCCGTACCAATTTTTTTTGTTTTTAAAAAAGATTAACATTTTTGAAAAAAATTTACTCTGAAAAAATTAGTTTTTTGAGAAACTATACATTTTTGACAAAAATTTACTTTTTTTTGAAAAAAAAAAAGACTTTTTGAAGAAAAAAATTATTTTGAAATATTTTGGAAATTCTGAACTTTTTTCAAAGAAATATCGAAGCGCGTAAGCACGGATAAACATTGGTACGGAACCCGTAGGAATGTAAACTTATACTTATTGTTAAAATCTCTATAAAATATCTAATAATTTGATGTGCATATGTCTAATGATCATTTTTGACCGCCGAATCGCATTTTTTTTACTTTTTTTTACTAGATCTCCGAAAACAGTCTTGTCTTCATGAAAATTTGATTAGTTCTTCATCTTATTAATACAAGTAAAATGTTTTCTGTATTCTTAAAATCGGACGCTCCGTCCTCTTAAAAACCGTGTTACCGTTTTTGACACTTTTTGCATCGTATCTTCGGAACGGCTAGACCTGCCCCCGTCAAAAACTAATTAGCACGCTTCCTTATCAGTACGAATCGAATGTTTATTTAAATCGGTTGTTCGGTGTTCCCAAAATCGTCGACAAAAATTTGTATCCGCACTTTTGCATATACACACACATATCCATTTTTGTAAGGTATGCCAAAATCTTCAGAAACCTCTGAAACGTAAAGATATATAAAAAATTTCATTTTCGATTTTTTTGCGATTACTATAACTTGCCCTACGGTAAGTTAATAAAACGATTTTTTACCAAATTGTAGACCAAAATATGCCCAAAACATAAATGACACGTTATTATTAGATTTTTTACTAAAGTACTGTCAGTTTGGTAAATATTTTTGAATGACTACTCACTATATAATTAATTTACTAGTTCAACGTCAATATCATGAATATTAACATTACTAATATAATAATTTTTATTGCTTAACTTTAATTATGTTATTCTTAGAACAAAAATTATCGGAAAAATTTATAAATCTATCAAAAAGTTACTGTTATTGTATAGGAAATTTTAAATACACTAGTAAAACTTTAATTTAAAAAAACACTACAAATTTAATATTTTTTTTATTATTATTTAACAAGCAAACAAATAATGTTTCTCAAATAACACGTAGGGATGAAATTTTATGAGTTAAGAAAAATATTGTGATTCATTAATTTTATCAGCAAAATTATTTTATGCTGAAGTTTTCTTAACAAATCTGTAAAATTTGTGTTACATTTTTCGTTTTTATCTTATCATTCAAACAAAATCGATGAAGTAATTATTAGATTTTGTGCTGGATTGCACCCAAATATTAAAATCACTCATTGTCACCGGAGTCCTATGATACGCCAGATGAAAATGTCTTTATCATTTCAATTGTATTACCCAAATCCAAATCCGTAGCTTCGTATTAAACTAACGTTAACTATTTGGTTAATATTCCGAATAATTCAGTCCCTTCGATCTACTCTCTCGATAATTCCAAACAGGAATTTCAGAACTATGTTTTATTATATTATGTAGATTTACTCACAACGATTTCTCCATGTTATGTAGGTCGAATGAAAAAGTTTTTGAATAATATTGAATAAAAATTTATGAAAAGTTAGACAGTTTATATCAAAACTATTTTGAACTTTAATGCTAAGCAAAATATTGTTAGCTATTGTTTCATAACAGCTCAATCAATTTATTAGGATCAAGATAGTAGTTATAAACAATGCTTATAGTTTAGTGAAATCACTATTTCAAAACGTGTTTTTGACAATTTTATAAAACAATTTCAAAACAAGTTTAAAACAATTTCATAAATTACTTAATTTATAGGAAATGATAAAAATTACTTTTCCTTAGCGCTGAAAGAGTTAAATTGGCACTCGAAACGTATGGATTTATAGATGTATATATATTTATAGATGTATATATAAATCTTAAATAATGATTTGATCAAAATAATAAATTGCATAGAGTAATAAAATAAAAATGATCAAAATTAGTAGCAACCAAAATCGAAATTATTTTTATTATATAATATAAAGAATGTTTCACTAAGTTGAACAAAAAAAAAGAGTAATAATTAATTAGAGGTTTTTTATCGTTATAAAATTGGTGCAGCCGTTTTTAAGAAAACTTAAAGGATTAAATTTTGATTTACTAGGACACACACAAACTTTTTCTAATTTCGATCTCAAACGTTTTAGAATACCTTGAACCGCCGAAGAAACAAATAATTAGAACAATGAATTTTCTAGTAAAATCACAAACTTCTTGGAAAGTTAATAAACTTGCACTTCACAATTTGTTTTACTATAAAATTAAAAATATATAAAATTATGAAATGTATTATTAATGTATGATAAAAAAATTAAATAAACTACTTCATACGCACAAAAGGGTAACTAATTTATATTATAAATACAACCATTGATCATGTCACCGTTATTTCATTATAAGTCCAGAATTCAAAAATTATTTAAACTACAAAAAGCATTCGAAAAATCATTTTGAATATTTTCAATTGTGTATATCGTATCTGAATAGATTTTGCACCGGCTGTCATCTGCAGAAACCAAATACCAAAAGGCTATTGTGCCTTGTTTTAATTGATGTCATGACATGTGTTTAGTCGATGAAAGGATATTCTAAATGAAAAACCGAACAAATTATCATGTTATTTAAAAACACTTCAACTCTTTTTGAAAGTATTTAATTTTTGCTCGTTAATATTGAAAACATAACAGTTGATAAACAAAATCATACGGTTACCAATTCTCGCAGAAATTATTAAAAATTTATAGAAATTCAAAATGTACGAGTATATTTAACATTTATTAACGTAAATTTATTAATCAATTAATTTTCCATACTACATCTGAAAAATACTGAGTTTTAAGAGTGAAAACTGATTTTTTCACCTGGCGAAATTCACAATGTAATTTAGCAAGTAACATTTTGCTATATCATCAACATAAGTTATGTAAATATAATAATATAGTTATTTTGTTATATGTATTTTGCTAATTCTGGACGACTTATATTCATAATGTTATTCATTTATTTATGTAAGCATGATTTTAACAAATCGATCCCGATTTTTATTATTATTCATATAATAATTAACTTCCCGTAGAGTAAGTTATCGTAATCGGCCAAAAGCCGAAAATGAAAATTTTTATATAGCTTCACGTTTTGAGGGTTTATGAACATTTTGGCATACTTTAGAAAAAAGGAAACAATTTTGCGTCCACGTTTTCGGGCGCAACCGATTTGAATAGATCACAAAAAGTCAATGCCTATTGATAAGGAGATGTGCTGATTAGTTTTTGGCAAAGGCTGGTCTAGTCGTTTTGGAGATACGGAGCAAAGAGTGCAGAAAATAAAAATCGAGTTTTTGAGAGTATGGAGCATTGGTTTTTAATGATCCAAAAAACATAAAATTTGTAATGATGGGGAGAAGTGGTGATTAGTTTCTGACAAATGCAGGTCTAGCCGTTTCGGAGCTAAATGTGCAAAAATGCTAGTTTTTGAGAGTACTAAACATTCGATTTGAATGATTCAGAAAACTTTCTGCTTATGTCGACAAAAAAATTGCTTCTGGGAAAAAACATTTTTTGATTACATTTTTTTTTTAATTTTCAAAAAGTATTTTTTTCGAATATCGATAATTTGAATTTTAATTTTATTTCTAGCTAAAGTTCTAAAGCTCGCTTATATACTTCAAATAAATAATTTGAACTTTGCAATGCTGTTTATAGAATTTTATAAATAGACAATGTCTTTGATTTTAAATCTGATTGAGTAAGTTTTGGTTATTTACTTTTTTGTAAACATATACAAACGTCGTCTTCCAATTTATAAACTTTTATATTTTGTATATAAAATAAAAATAATCAAAGTTACAGTATTTATAATAATCTATATGAAAACATTTAATATTCCTCAAATGTTTTACTGCGGTATGAGAAGTTCCAGCAATTTGCCTGAAGACACAATGCCATACACCACTATTAAATATTAGTTTTTCGCAAAGACAGGCCCAGCCATTTCGAAGATACGGAGCTAAATGTACAAAAAATGGAAGTTTTTGAGAGAACTAAGCGTCCGAATTAATTGATTCAAAGAACTT